ATGGCAGAATTCAAGCGTGAGTTTGAGATGCTAGCTGCGCCTTTGAGAGAAATTTCAGATGTGGTTTCGGAGAGCACTTTTGTTTACGGACTGAGACCGTAAATACGGGTTGAGGTGAGGTTATTGGGCCCAAAGGAGCTAGGCCCAATCATGGAGGTGGCCCAGAAAATAGAAGACAGGAATCTGATTTTGAGAAATATCCAAGGGTCTATGAGTCATAAAACAATCAGACCCGTTTCTGCTTCCAATCGGCCAGACGCGAAGAGGTTCGAGGGGTTCCCCACTAGAAGCGTCACCGTCGGCGAGAAATCAGGTGCCGTCGGCGCGATTTCCCTGTGAAGAGATTGTCCGACGCTGAGTGGAAGCTTCGGAGTGCCAAAGGGCTGTGCTTCACGTGCGATGAGAAGTTCGTTGTAGGATACCAATGTCGAAATCGAGAGCTTAGGGTCCTGCTAGTGGGAGGGGATAGCGAGGGAGAGGATGAAGAAGTTATCTGGGAGAGTGAAGAGCATCCCATCGAGGTGGGGATCCAATCGAACTGTCCCTTAACTCAGTGGTGGGGTTGACTACGCCAGAGACGATGAAGCTAAAGGGGATAGTGGCAGGGAGCGAGGTTGCTGTGCTGATAGACTGTGGAGCAATCCACAATTTTATCTCTTTGAAGCTGGTACAAGATTTGGAATTATCGACAACAGCCACTACTAACTACGGAGTGGTGATGGGATCAGGAAAAGCTGTACAAGGGAAGGGGAAATGCAAAGGGGTGGTTTTAGAGATGCAAGGGCTGACTGTGGTAGAAGATTTCCTGCCTTTAGAGTTGGGCAGTATAGATGTAGTGTTGGGGATGTAGTGGCTAAGGACTTTGGGCAATATGGAAGTCAACTGGAAACGCTTGTCGATGAGGTTCAAAATGGGTGACTCGGTGAGAACATTGACAGGAGATCCTGGACTGCACAAAACCGGGGTATCCTTGAAGGTAATGATGAAAACCTTACAACAAGAGGGCCAGGGAGTTTGGGTGGAGTGGAAGCAGCTGGGGGTGGAGGAAAACACTAGTAAGAAGGGGGCGTTACCAATCGCAGAAATACAGGAGGTCCTACAACAACACCAACAAGTGTTTAGCGAGCCATCGGGACTACCTCCCGATCGCGAAACTGATCACGCCATTCCATTACGGGAGGGAACCGACCCAGTAAATGTGAGGCCTTTCAGGTACCCCCACATCCAGAAAAATGAGATCGAACGGTTGGTTCAGAAGATGTTGACGACTGGGATTATACGACCAAGTATCAGTCCGTTTTCTAGTCCTGTGTTACTGGTAAAGAAGAAGGACGAAAGTTGGCATTTTTGTGTGGATTATAAGGCCTTGAACAAGGCAACCATACCAGACAAGTTTCCCATCCCGATCATCGATGAATTGTTGGACGAATTACACAGCGCTACCATTTTCTCAAAACTGGATTTGAGGTCAGGTTACCACCAGATTAGGGGGTACTATGAGTTGCTGGTTATGCTTTTTGGCCTCTCTAACGCACCAGCCACGTTCCAATGTCTCATGAATCAGATCTTTCGAAAACAGTTGAGGAAGTTCGTGTTAGTTTTCTTTGATGACATCCTAGTCTATAGCAAAGACTTGGCGGCACACAAGGAACATTTGAATGAGGTCTGACGGTCTTATCAACAAATCAACTTTACGCCAATACAAAGAAATGTCATCTTGGGAAGTACCAAATAGAGTATCTGGGGCACTTAGTCTCCGCCGAAGGAGTAGCAGCCGATCCTGGCAAGATTACTGCAATGGTACAATGGCCGTCTCCCCGGAACATTCGCAAGCTCCGAGGATTCCCGGGATTAACGGGATCCTACAGGAGGTTTGTGGCTGGCTACGGGGCAACTTCTTGGCCTCTTACAGAACAGTTAAAGAAGGATGCGTTCAAGTGGAATGAGGAAGCAGAGGCTGCTTTTCAGAAACTGAAGTTAGCCATGGCAACTGTCCCGGTATTGTCTCTACCAGATTTCTCGAAACCATTTGTTATTGAGACAGATGCTTCAGGCTACGGATTGGGTGTAGTACTTATGCAGGAGCAACGCCCCATCGCCTACTACGGCTCTTTTTCTATCAGGGAGATCTCAACATAAGTCCGTTTACGAGAGGGAACTGATGGCAATTGTTTTGGCCGTCCAGAAGTGGAGGCACTATGTATTGGGGAAAAGATTTGTTGTGCATACTGATCAGCAGAGTTTGAAGTACCTTTTAGAACAACGAGTAATCCCAGAGGAATTCCAGCGATGGGTAACAAAACTATGGGGTTTAACATAGAGATCCAGTATCGGCCTGGGTTGGAGAACAAGGCGGCGGACGCATTATCACGCCTCCATTCTCCTGTCGAGTTGACAACAATCTCCAGCCAAGGCTTCGTGGATAGCCGGTCGTAAATACTCAGGTGGAAGATGACCCATTCCTCTCTAAAATCAAAAAAAGGCTGCAAGAAGACTCAGAAGTGCACCCACAGTTTTCAGTCGAACATGGGAGGTTATTGTACAAGGGACTTCTAGCTCTACCGCAGTCCTCACCACTGATTGCAGCTATTCTGAGCGAGTTTCACAGTAGCCCAACAGGGGGGCATTCGGGATTTCTCCGCACTTACAAACGCTTGACCAGCGAACTATATTGGGTGGGAATGAAGAGGGACATCAAGAAGTTCGTAGAGGAGTGTCCAATATGCCAACAAAGTAAGAACCTCGCACTTTCCCCAGCCGGTCTCTTACAACCTCTGCCTATTCCCCACCTTGTCTGGGAAGACATTTCAATGGATTTTATAGAAGGTCTACCGAAATCCAGAGGTTACAACTCCTTATTGGTGGTGGTTGATCGCCTTAGCAAGTATGCTCATTTCTTACCAATAAAACATCCCTTCACAGCAGAGTCAGTAGCCACACTTTTTGTCAAGGAAATCGTCAGGCTACATGGCATCCCAAACTCTATTGTCTCGGACCGTGACAAAGTATTTGTGAGCCGATTCTGGTCAGAGCTATTTCGCCAACAGGGCACTTACCTACGTCGGAGCACGGCCTACCACCCACAGACGGATGGGCAGACTGAAGTGGTTAACAAGTGTGTCGAAGCTTATCTTCGATGTTTTGTGGGGGATAAACCAAAGAGCTGGAGCAGTTGGATTCCGTGGGCAGAATACTGATATAACACCACATTCCACTCCTCCACAAATACTACCCCATTCAGAGCATTGTATGGACGAGACCCACCCCCGCTAATCCGTTATGGCAGCCGAACTACAGTATTGCAATCAGTGGAACAGTAGCTGCAGACCAGAGACCACATTCTGGACAAACTAAAATCTCACCTGCTCCACGCCCAGGAGAGAATGAAGGAGACTGCAGATCGTCGGAGGCGAGACATTCACTTAGAGGTAGGGGATTTGGCGTATGTCAGACTCCGTCCCTATCGTCTCCACTCTCTTGCCAAAAAACCCAATGAGAAGCTAGGACCTAAGTACTTTGGCCCTTTTGAGGTAGAAGAACGTATAGGGCATGTGGCATATCGATTGAATTTACCTCCAACCTCAACTATCCACCCTGTGTTCTACATATCGCAACTGAAGAAGGCTCTAGGGGCATAAGATGCAAGTAAGAGGTTTCCTCCTCATCTTGACGCTAACTTGGTGTAGGTCGTAGAGCCTGAAAAGGTCCAGGAAATCCATCCCAAAAACTTTGGAACATCCCCAAAAGTACTTGTGTAGTGGAAGGGGCTGCCCTTATCTGAAGCTTCCTGGGAATCAGTTGAATCGATTTTGCAACACTTCCCCGATTTCCACCTTGAGGACAAGGTGTCTTTGGATGGCGGGGGTAATGATAGGCCATCGGTCCAATTCACATATTCTAGAAGGGGTAAGAAGGGGATCTCGCACAGTGAGGGAGAGAAGCTAAATTCAGTTGGAGGGAATGAAGGGTAACAACTTTCTGTTAAGAGAACCTATAAGTATTAGCACTAAAGTAGTAATGAGGGGGGAATATTTTGGGAGTGAGTCTTGAGTAGTTTAGTTCTATTTACAGCCTTGTATAGGTTTTGCTATCAATTTCATTACTGTAATCGTTCTTATTTTCTATAAAAGTGAACTTATTCAATATCCGGTCAGTTCTTCCCAGTGGTATCTTATCACAACCTTTTACTTCTGTAGGTTTTATAGCCTCCACAACTCACCTGCAAAAAAAGAAAAAAATTAACTCCTTATGGTTTCATTTATATAATATACCATACAAGCCATGTACTAAGACATACCCCACTTGGTTCTTTTGGCAATATAAGTTCTTTTACCAATAACAAACAAAAGCACAAAAAAAAAATCACATAAATAGGCATCATTCCATCATCCGACATTGATTAAGAAGAGAAACTTTCAAAAGGGGGCATTTCAAACAATTAACACCTCCTCCTATCTTCATTCTGAGAGAGATGGCTTTTATGGCCATGGTGAGCAATTTCTTAGGCAAGAAAAAGAGTCAAGGATTTAGTTGGAGCAAAGATATAAGACAGAAAAAATTCAACATAATCCAAACTTTTTTTCAGATATATTGACTTAACGTACCTGATCTATATCCTCAGAGATTGCGAGTTCCTCGAGACCGTAGGGATAACTAATTAATAATTGTACCAATATCAGTTTCCACAAAAATGGAGCTCTAAGAAGGCATATTTTTAGAGTAGTTAAAAATAAACAAAAGCAGATGCAGAAGCTCTTATAGTAAGCCAAAATTAGAGTACAATTTTCTACGATCATCTCATGTAAGCTTAGTGCCAATACTGCAAATTCAAAGCCATATGGAAGGGTCAAAATGAAACCCATTATGAGAACACCCAAAAGCTGCATGCCAATTATTCCAAAACAGTGACACTACCTATTTATGGTGATATTAACAGCCATTCTATCAGCCTGAAAAGCTAGGATGTCAGACATAATCTCTGAAGTGGCACCGCCAAGTTTCTATTTGAAAATNTTTATGGTGATATTAACAGCCCTTCTATCAGCCTCAAAAGCTAGGATGTCAGACATAATCTCTGAAGTGGCACCGCCAAGTTTCTATTTGAAAATTTTCATGTTAGACTAGAGTAATTAAAAGGAAAATGTGAAATGCCGAAACATACAGAAGATAAAGAGAAGGAAAACATTTTTTTTATAATTCAGGAATGAAATGCTTACTTGGCAAAATCTGTAGAAATCCTCAAAGTATGCTTTGTAGAGGGTATTCCTCATAATTTCAATGTTCATGTCATCCAAGTCCTAGAAAACATCCATATAAGGGGGAGGTGGATGCAGAAAACAAACAACACTAATAAAACCCCATTAACATTCCAAACCTTGTTTTTGCTTAGTGTTCACTAACAAGAACACGTGACAGTAACTTAATAAATGTTGAAAAATATATTCCATTCTACTTGTATTATTTTCTTGTTTCCTTTGACAAGTGAAATCTACCCGTACTATTTTCAGTAAAATCCGATTGCTTCATCTCTATTACTTCAACAACATTAAACTGGACCTGGTACCTCTGAAGTTATGCACTCAGAGAAATATGGAGTAAGAGGTGTGTCAACAAGCACCAGTCTGTAAAGCTCCCTCATATTCTGAGCAACTGCCAGGGTAGCAATGTTGTAGAATGAATTGAAATTTTTTCATTACATATTTTTTTTGATAGCCGTATAGAGAGCGCAAAATGTTGAATAAAGACATATTACCTGTCAAACATTCCCAAGGGGTGACATTTCTCCAACAACTCCTGAACATCTCTCATGCAATGTTCCAGTGACAATTAACACGACATCGTCAATCATGTGACCATATCTGAACAATATGCAGAAATACTGTGTCAAGAATGAAATTTCTAGTTTAATTTAACGCAAGTGATCAAAGTCTGCAACAAGATTCCACCTTATCTCCACAAGAAGCAAGTTGCAGAATAAACTTGATAGACACAATTGCTTATACCTATCACAACCTTATTTGTCAAGTGGACATACTTTCTACAAGTTTACATGAGTAACCAACACTATGCACTTCTAGCAAGCATCATGGGAGAATGCTTTAAATTTCTTCATTGAGATTAGCTATTTGGGCATTTAACTTCATATGTCATTATATCTCAGAGACGCATATCTACACTCTATATGTACAATAGTTCAAGAGCACTTAGATGGCATTAATATATATGATCTTATTTACAAGTACAAAGAGAAACACACAAAAATACAGTCATATATACAAATAAAACAAAGATAAACAAATATGTATACAATTACACACGTGCTAGCAGAAAGAGAGAAATTCACATACATGATATATTCTAAGAAGGTTGATAGGGGTTCTGTGGCTTGGCATAGCATTTGCTTATACTCGTCGACCAGTTTAGGAGTGCACTTTTCCACTATTGTAGTTGTATGCAATGGAGAGGGATCTGTAAGTCAATGAAACAACCAAAATCATCACAATGCTCCAAGTTGGAAATATCTACCAATCCTGTAATACTTGCAGTGCTTCAAAACAAGCTACAACCTAGCACCATTCTAGTAATCCTATCTACTTCGTAAAATTAACTTATCTGATGTCGATAGTCAATATGATTTCATCTACCGTAGCTAAGATTTTCTTGTTTACAAAAGCTATTTGTATTTACTGCTAGAATCCTGCATCACATGAGTCTTACATAATGCACCTCAAAGCTTACTCCTTAAGAGCATCTTTAGGGGGATTAAGGCGTTCGCCTAATTGTCTTGCATTTTATGTAGATTTTAATATTTTATCACTGGCCTTGGCTTTTCCTTTTTAGACTCTTCTTTATAATTGGGTTTTATTTATTTCTTTTCTCTACCTTTACATGAAAAGGAAATGGGAAGGAGAACACATTATGGCCAGTGGAGGATGATGACAAAGAATAAGAAAAAACTATCATCGATGAGGAACATTAAAAGGAACATTATGTTGATGATTCTCTTAAAGATTCTAACCTTTCTAATG